AGGGCCTGAGTTCAATCCCCAGTTTCGCAAAAAATTAAATAAATAAATAAATAAAAATAAACAGACAAATCACTATGAGTCTGATCTAGTAATGAGACCCTGAACACCCTGTAGACGCTTTCCTAAAAATACAGAAGAAAAATAAGAGAGAGAGAGAAAAACAAAAAAGAAATTAAAAAGACATCAATGACCGAGATCATCTTGTTTGCTATGTGAAAGATCTTTTTGTTGTGCTGCTTTTCAGCCTATGCTGAGTTGAAAATGTCTCATTTCTGATTGTTTTTTGTTGTTTGTTTTTTTGTTTGCTTACTTGCTTGCTTGTTGTTTGTCCATTTTCTTTCTATTTTCCAGAAACCCCTCTAAATCTCTTGGCCACAAATGATAACTTCCCAAGGCCTCAACTGCTACTCTGAATTTATCCTTATTATTATCTCCTATTGTTTCAAAGGAATTGGAGAAGCAAACAAAAAGGAAATATGGCCTCTTGAAGTAGAAGCGGGTCTCTAAATTAAAATGTGCAATTTTTTTTGTTTGTTTGTTTGGTGGATCTGGGGATTGAACTCAGGTCCTTGTGCTTGCCAGGGAAACACTTATTCTACTGAGCCATCTCCCCAGCCCAACATGTGCATATCTTGTGATCCAGAGATTCCATCTCTAGGGATGGATCCTAAAGCAAATGGCATTTTCCAAATATCTCCCATCCAACATATTCTTCTGCAGTGTGACCTTGCTAAGATTCCAAGAAGGGAATTTGATTTGATTCCTTTTCTAGACAATAAAACTGAAAAAGCATGGATCATACTACATCCATTTTTAATATAATTTAAAAATTATATTAATAATTGATGAAGCATAGATCATACTACATCCATTTTAATATAATTATTCCTTTACATAGTTCCTCTGAAAATCTTTAAGTGGATTTAATATGTTTCATTTTACAAGAATACTGCCACATTTACAACCTAGTTCTGATTTCCACAGAACCTATTCTTCAGTGGAACCTTGGGGATAAAATGTCATCACAAGAGATCAGTGTGTTATATCCACACGTGACTGATCTCAAGATAACAAAGTGCCCCTGTGCCAATGATGTAGCATTACTTGGCTTCATCTTGAATGCAGCATATAATGGTAAGTCTGTACCTTCACTGAGTGATGGAAGCAGTGTTTTGTATCTGCTAAAGCTGATGTTTAACTGGTTATGCCAACTAAATGTATTGACAGTATAGTAGGAATTTTTCCTAAAAATACCCTCAAATTTACTCTTCACCTTGTCTACTTGCAAGTTTGATATAATGATGATACTTTTTGCTGTAGCTTTTTGCCTTGTTAATAGTATCTCTTCTTATTTCTTACCCTATTACTGTTTTACATTTTCATAGAAATTATTTACTGTTTCTAATCTATCTGCTATCTTCATCATGTATAAATAGATATTATTCCTAAGATATCACATTATTTTGTATAATATACATACACCACCACTATAATAATATATGTATAGGAAAAAAAACTAGTTTTCTATATATTGTTATTTATAATGCTCCTGACACAAAATTTAGGGATTTTCCACAAGAAGCAATTCATTTCTCTTTAGAAACCAAGTGAATATCTTGCATTTTATTTCAGTTCTTGCACTAGCCATCTGGAGCTTACACAGACCCCTATAGCTTAAAGGCTCAGCCCCGTAAGACTGCTGCCAACTTCAGATTGGCAGAATCTAAGGCTGCGACCTACACTTCTAATCAACCTGTTATCAATTTGAGAGTTCCCATAACTCCCTCCACTGCATCATGAATTCAATAATTTTCTAGAACAGCTCACAGAACTCAAGGAAACAATGAATTACATTTAATGGTTTATTATTGGAATAATACAAAACTACAGATACACAGCCAGATAAAGGGGTACACAGGATGAGGTACCACAGGTGAAGTTCTGTCTCCATGGAGTTGCACAGTGACACCATCCCAGGACATTAATATGTTCACCAATCTAGAAGCCCTCTCAAGCCTTATTCCTATCATATGTGTGATCAATCATCAAATTGGTCTCCAGCCTTTTGCCCCTTCCTGGAGGAAGGTATGTAGGATGGAAATTTTCAGTCTTCAAATTATAATTTCATTTTTCTAATGACTGTCGCAGTCCTAAAACTAATGGGATCCCATCAGCTGTCACATTATAAGAACAAAAAGGACTCCAGTTACTTGGGAAATTCCCAAAGATTTAGCAACTCTTTATCAAGAACCAGAAGCAGACTGCATACCCACCAACTGAAGACAGGATAAAGAAAATATGGTATCTGTTTATAATGGAATACTACTCTGCTGTATAGAAATCTGTAAAAAGACAAGTCAAATATAGGATTCTTAGTGCATAATTACACCAAATATTACATACTTCATCAAATAGTACTCCAATTATTTTTCTTAATCATTGATGGCCCCCTAGTCCCAAATTCCAATATTCAAACACAATATTTAAATTTTTTTACAAAAGCAAAAATCTCATTCATATGTAATGTATATCAATGTAAAAACCCAAATGGTCATACAGAAAAACAATCAAAAGAAATATGATAGTGTTACAAAGTTGTGGAATATAACAATCTAGGAAAATCACAACACCAAAGACAAAAACAAAATTTTTATATTTTTGTTGTGGTGACAGTAATGGTTCTAGGGATTGAATCCAGGATCTTGCATAGAGTTGACAAGTGCTCCAAAAGTGAACTAAGGGGCCAGAGAGATAGCTCAGTGGAATAAGTTCTTTCCTGGCAAGTGCATGATCCTGAGTTTGATCACTGGTACTACCTAAATAAATAAGTAAATAAATAAATAAACAAAAGTGAACTAAATCCTCAACCTCAAAATTACAATTTTAAAAATCAAGAGACAGAGGGCAAGAGACGTTACAGGGCCTGCTTTACAGAAATTCTAAAATCTAATGCAGGCCACAGGAAAAAACTGAAATAAATAAAAAATATGTTCATGAATAGGAATTGTGAAGTCTAGCATTGCAAGGATGTTAATCAACTGTAAATTGGGCAATCAACTCAGTACAGTCTCCAGAAAATTTACACATTGCTTTTGTGTATGTTTTATTAGTATAGAAATTGACAAACCAATCCCAAAATTTGGATTAATTTATGTTATGGCCTGTAATGTTTACATTAATCAGGACCATAAGGCACCTGTACCTGATATATCTCTATTCTCATTTCCTTTTTCACTTCTCCTCACCCCTCACCCATGTTCCCTCAGACTACTTCCCTCCTGTAAGAGAGCCATCCCCTTGTATCTTTCTTTCTTTCTTTTTTTTTTTTTTTCAGAACCAGGGATTGAACTTGCGCTTGCCAGGGAAGCACTTATTCCACTGAGCCATCTCCCTGCCCCCCCCCTTGTATCTTTCTATATGTCCTGCATCATTTTATTGTTTGCACTTTGCCTCACTTAAATGAGAGATGCTGTGCAGGGAGATAGCTCAATAGAATAAGTGCCTGCCTGGCAATCACACAGTTCTGAGTTCAATCCTTGGCACCAGAAAAAAAAAAAAAAGGAGGGAGATATGACATATGGTATTTAAGCTTGTGTGTCTAGTTTACTTTATTCAATATTATATTTCCAGATGCATGTGTTTTCCTACAAATACCTCAGATTTCTTTATAGCAGACTAGCATCCCATTCTATATAGATAAAACACTTTCCTTATCCCATCATCAGTTGGTGGTATACAGTCTGCTTCCAGGACTTAGCTTTATGAATTGTGCTGCTGTAAACATTGGTATGCATGTAGTGCTGTAGTATGACTACTTAAGCCTTTTGGGGAAGATATCTAGTAGAGGAATAGCTAGGTCATAGGGAATTTCTCATTTCAATTCTTTGAGAAATCTCAAAGTGATTTCCATAGTGATTGTACAGTTTGCATTCCCAACAACAATGAAAGTGGGTTCCTTTTTCACCACATCATGCCAGTGTTTGTTACTGGTTCATTTCTTAATGATTGCCATTCTTTCTGGAGGAGATAGAGTCTTTTTTTTTTAAGATGGAGTCTTAACACTGTCTTATTTTGCATTTCTCTAGTGCCCAGAAATGGGCGACATTTTTTCATATTTTTCTCAACCATTTGTATTTCTTTCTCCACTAAATGTCTATTCATTTATCTTGCCCATTTCTAGATTGGGTCTTTAATTTTAGCTAGTTTAATTTTGTTGAGATCTTTGAATATTCTAGATATTAGTCCTCTGTTTGAGGATTAGCTGGTAAATATTTTTCCATTCTGTAGCCTTTTCTCTTCATTCTACTGATTCTTTTTTTTT